TCTTTTTCCCACCACCAAAAAAAAAGAGGTGAAAGTAAACAAATATCAGTACTTTTAAAGGCCAAAGACACTGCATTATATGCCCTGCTCACCCTAATGGGGTCACTGGTAGATGTTAGTTTGTGGACTGATTACCATACAATGGAACTCATTGCAGAACAAAGGCATACGGTGAAGTGGGGCCACTTTTAGAATGTGACCACAAGTTTATGAGCATTTCAATAAACTCACTGAGATAAGTAAAATTCTGTTGATGTGCATGTTTTGATAGATTCGTTGTCTGTTTTGAAAGTGCAGGTAAACCGTCAATGCATTTCCAGTCAGAAGCATGATCAACATCTGGAAGTCAGGACAGTTTAGTATACAAACCAAGTTAAAGCTATATAACAGCTGTGTACTATCCACACTCCTATATGGCGCTGAATGCTGGAGGATGACTGATCATGACCGTGCCAAGCTATCTTCCTTTCATACAACCAGCTTACGCCAAATACTCGGAATCTTCTGGCCCCACAAGATATCCAACGCAGAGTTGTTATGTAAATGTAGGCAAGAGGACATGACAACCATAATAAAAAGGAGAAGGTGGAGATGGATTGGACATGTTCTGAAAAGACAGCCAGACTCTATTGTGAAGACTGCCCTCCACTGGACACCCGAAGGACGTCGCAAAAGGGGCAGACCCAAAGTGACCTGTAGACGCACAGTAGAGTCTGAAATGAAGTCCTGGAATCATTCGTGGGGAACACTGACTAAGATGGCCCAAAACAGACAGAGCTGGAGATCCTTTGTTGCTGCTCTAAACGCCAGATGGCGTAATGGGTAGTAAGTAAGTAAGTAAGCATTTCCAGTCAAACAGCTCATGTAGATCAAAATCCATAACCTTTTTCTTTCGGTGGCCTGTTCATGTACATCTATGCTCATAGCATCATCATAGTCAATACAAGAATGATGAAACAAATGTTGAAGAAAAAACAGTTGATTAATTACGAAATCTAGTGAGGAAACAGAGAAGCACAAAAATGTTAGTTTCAGGTGAAGTTTAGAACAAATTAAACAATTATAAAAAGCTGTTGTAGGACAAGTACAATTGACTCTTTGTCGCTACTGTTGTACTGACATTTTGACCTTCTTGATCGGGCAGCTGTCACTGCTGCTGTGCACATTGATCGTCAAGTTGGCCTCTACAGTGTGCTCTGGCACATCCAGTCGCTCCAGTGTGATGGCAGCGTACATCTTGTAGTCAAACAACGTGCGGTGAAATTTGACCTCCATCAGCTCCTCCAAAGGAGAGTCAGAGCGGGAACCTGCACACAAAACATTTTTTCAAAAAAGTTTTTCAATTGTTCATCTGATTGTTCAACAACAACAAAAGCACAGTGGAACAATCGTAACAAGGTTTCAGGAACAGCAAAGACAAAGATGAAAACGGTCGAGATACAGGATAAAAATTTCAGTGGCAACCTCAAAATGCCAGCTGAGAAATATGTCAGACAACAACTAAACACTCCCCCACCCCTCCCCCCATTAAAATACACATACATGATATGTACATATAATTTACTCACCCGTGTAATAAAACAATTTTTCACTCCACTGGTATTCCCAAATAAAATCTCTTTATCAACAAAAGAAAATTGAAGTTTTAAAAAAACTTATCATAACATATAAATAAAGAAAATAGCTAAACAAAGGCTCTTTCATTAATTTTCCATTTAAGCGTGACAATATCAACAACAAGCAATAAAATGGAGTAATTGCTTGCTCCTTAAATTCAAGCAAATAATGGTTAAATAGACAATACAGTGCTCACCATGAAAACCTGCTGCAAGCAGGTAGGCCATGAAGGCCAGAGCTCCATAGGATATTAACTTCATTGCAGAAATGCTTCATGTGCAATAAAACCAAATTAGATGAATGTCATTAGAACTGGGCCTGAACAACCTCCATGTGACTCATGACCATATTTTGGAAGACCTGTGAGCAAAACAGAAATCAACATGAGAATACTTTTAACATGCTACCTTTATTCTAGTCTACTTCGAGAAGAAAATGGGTTGAAAAACACTTTCCTTTACCTCAAAAGAACCACCATTTTTATAAGAATGATGGAGTTGGAGTCTACTTGTCTCAATTTTCAGCACCGCAAACTAGAGCTGTGCCCATTCGATTTCACTATTCGACATTCATGATTTTTGCGCTATTCACAGCTATTCGAAGTGTGGCAGAGCCATTCGAATGCTGCGTGATTTTTTTCCATAATGGATTTCTTTTAATTTTTCTCAACGCGTCATAAAATTCAAGAATAATAAAATATCTAATTTCACTGTGGTAAATTCAACATTGCATTCAAGTTGATGATTATGGAACAGAGATATAAGAGGGGCCACAGAAGGAGTTGTAAAACATGCCTCTAAAAAGGCTCTCATCATGCCATTAACAACTCAATAGACCATCGCTTCAAAGCGCAGCGAGTGATTTTGCGTACATTGCAGACTGAGCTCCCTTTGCCCAAATCTATAAAATTCAAAGCTCAAGGCAATATGGGTACCTACTACCACTTCGATGCGCGGCGAATGTTTTTTTTTTGTATGCTAGCATACTTAGTTCCCTTTGCGCCATGAGAAATTCGAAGCATAGGCTATATGGGTACCCACCACCGCTTCGAAGCGCAGCGAATTGTTTTCTTTGTAGGCTGGAACACTTAATTCCCTTTGTACAATGTAAAATTCGAAGCAAAAGGCTATATGGGTACCCATCGTCACTTCGAAGCGCAGCAAATGTTTTTAAAAATTTTAGTTGTTTTTTCTTTGTAGGCAGACAAACTTACTTAGCTCCCCTTGTACAATTCGACTATGAAAGCACATGGTTATGAATGGAATGTTGCGATGTCATCGAAACACGGTGTGTCGTGCGGGGTTTGAACCAGTCGCGTTTTTATTTTTTATTTTTTTTATTAGCTATCCACCATAGCCTACTCGTTGCCGCTTGACAGGAGATCCATAAGGTTTAATGGGTGGGTGGGTAGGCCTATGTGCGGT